GAATTTTAAAGGAATTGAAAGGAGAATCTTTAAAAGAATTCAAGGAATAATTTCAAGATAGGTACTCAGAAGAATTTCAAGAGAATTCTGAGATGATTTCGATGAAAACTGTGGAGATAGTTCCAAAATACATCTAAAGATTATTCCAAACGAATTCAGGGGACAATTTATTCTTCTTGCACTATCAAAATAATTAAACATTACATCGGTAGCTTTGAAACGACCTTTTGGCATAGATTTTAAGAGTAAAACTCTAAAATCTGTAATTGCACCACAAACTCGAAATTATCTTTCTAGGACAGACAAATCTAACCATATTTGACTCGATATGGGTCAATTTGCGCGTTTATTTCTATTCTCTCACTCTTTTTGTATGGAAAATATAGAGGAAACAAAAATGGTAGCAGAACAATTTAAGTAGTAGTTTCAAAATGACGGGAAAAGTCCCCTTCTTCAAATGGTTAAGAATGAGAGGTGAGAATGCCGATTTTTCGGTTTAAAGTTATTCTAACAAATACCTCGTGTCATCTTTATGAATTGGGATATTAATCACGATATAATCCATTTACTGCCAACCTAAGCATGTGTCACTATTAATGTGAAAGGACCATTTGTAAATCAACTGAGATTTTTTTTTCAGATTTTTCAGGTTCCCACACAAACTATGTGTAAAATGTGGTTTTGCCCCACCAATGTTCAAACCATGTTGGCGCTCCTGCATGAGATATAGAGTGTCCCAGAATGTCTAAGCACGATTAAGAAAAAAAAAACGATAACGTAGCTCTGTTTTCAGCAAATTCGATTTTTGTTTCGTATTCATGTTCTCTATAGTATTATCTTGCAGTTTAACGTAGAAAATCGGAGATCCGATCAGTCGTAAGCCATGGAGCGGATTTTTGATATCACGCTACTCATTAGCTTCAGCACAGATGCCTTTGCAACAATTTTGGAACCTTTTTCCTAGTCTTTCGCAAACTTTGTAACGGAATCCGCCGCCTTTACATATTTCCGCAAATATGCTTTGGTCTTTGGTTTTATACCAGGATACCGTGTCCTTGGAGTAATGAACCGGCCAAAACAGTACTTAGGCGTCGTGTTTGCGGATCATAGATAACAGACGCTTGTTTGGACACTCACGCACGTAAACATCGGTTGTCATTGTCTCCGTTGTCACAAACGGTTTGGAAAGCATACCAAACTCACAAATGGCTTGCCAAACCATATCCTTTTACCGAATTTTTCGGTCTTACCCGCGTCGTCAACACATGGCAAAAGTGTGTACGAACGGTGTAGTACTGATCACCAGGAAGAGTTTTGTAATAAAATTTAACGTATAATTCATCGGCCATAATCACGCACACCGAGTTTCCGCACAGCAATTGGTCGTATAACTTCTGAGCCCTCGGTTTGACGGATGCGGCTTGTTTTTCACTCCGCTTTGGCTTCTTCTGCTTTTTATACGTCTTTAGACCCGTTCTTGCCTTGGCCCGCTGGACGTTACTTTTCGAAGATCCCACTTTTTAGTCATGTCTCGAACCGAAGCACTTTTCTTGCAAGTGAAAGCTTGCACGATTTTCCGGTCCAGATTTCGGGGTTCGGTGTTCGGTCTACGTCATTTTTTTTTTTTTTTTTTTAGTTCTTTATTAAGGAGATTTTTAGCCTACGGCTAGTTCATCTCCGGGGTTTACGTCCAGATTTTTGCTTATCCTGGAAAGTTGCTTCATCACCATAGTTCCGAATGGCGTTTCGACCGGCTCCGATGCTTATACCTTTAAATTTCGCTAATTGACTCAGAGAAATGTTGCGCATGTTTGCGCTTTTCTGAAGAAATGCTTCGCATTGTCACGGAAATGTAAAGACCCGACACTTGCGGTACACGAAACTGTTGGTCGAATTGTAAACAATGATTCAGCGTGATAATCAGCTGTTTCAACGTCATCTGAAATAAGCAGGGGTGTTCCAAAGTCGTGCTTAGGCATTCTGGGACACCCTATAGTATTTAAATAATTTATTTGAGAAACCACAAAAGTAGCATTTTAGCAAAAACGACATTTTAGCAGTTTTTGATCCGCTTTGATCAATCTTTTACAAACATCAAAAAAGTTGAATGATAGAAATCATTTTAAATTACACACTATGAAATAATTAGTTTTACACGTGACGGAATCCATCTTTGACATAAAAGATGAGACGTAAACAAACATGTCATGCAATATTAAGTGCTCCGAGACTGAAAAGTTCGTTGCTCGACGAAAAGTACGTTTGATTGAGCTGTATTTCGCGTCTGTTATGACTCAAATTTTTGTCAAAATTGACGCTCGTATATGTCATTCTCAGGGCACCTAAATTTACTTGAATTTTTCTAAGTGTGTAGGATCCTAAATATTTATTTGCAGAGCAAGACCGTAGGACGTCGGTTCGGTTTTTTTTTCTGTTTTCCAGCAGTTGTATCAAATGAACTTATGCGGTTTCTCAAATACTCACCCAAACATGTATGATTATTAGACTGATGCAAATTTTGACATTTTCGCTCCACAGTGCTCAAACGGTTCCAAATCGGGTCCTGATTAGTCTCCCAAAATTTGAACTCATTCGATAAGAAACTGACTTGGCACAAACCATTTGAAGTTTATATGGAAATTACTATAGGAAAACCAAATATTTTGTTCATATTCATCTAACAATTTACCAGATCGCTCTGCTTTAAAAAATGATAACTGAGCTCGTAGAACATTTTCTCAGCTACAACTTTGTCCTTAACCACTTTTCAATATAATGTAAGCATCAAAAGTTATCAATAATTCAAGCCACTAATGTCTTACGATTATGCTCAATCAACTGTTCAGCAGGCAACATTGGTGTTTCTGGCGCTTGGAATAGAGCACAAAAATCATGGCTACTATGTCACACTGCAAGATACAGTGTTGCTCACAAAACAGCTGCTTGATCATGCCATAAGATAATCAATCTCTTAAACAATTAATAACTATTTTATTTGACGTTTGGCTCAACAACTATATTCTGCTAAGTTGAAGCAGAGAAAATTTTCCATAAGTATAGCTTTTGAATTTTTGAACAGTGCAATATGGAAAAAGGTAAGAAGACGATGAACAAAAAGTTTGGATTTCCCATAGTAATTTCCATATAAACTTCAAATGGTTTGTGCCAAGTCAGTTTCTTTTCAAATGAGTTCAAATTTTGGGAGACTAATCAGGACCCGATTTGGAACCTTTTGAGCACTGTGGAGCGAAAATGTCAAAATTTGCATCAGTCTAATGATTATATTACAGATTTGCATGAAAAGTATACAGATTTTGTAATATTTCACCGGATGAACATGCATGATGTGTATTTCAGCAGTGAGTAGTAAGACATAATCCTTCGAATTGTGCTGGTTTTAATATTAAATTAATCCTATCCGTATGATTGATGAAGTCATGAAAAATCTTGTGAAATGAACACCGCACTAGCGATACTGAAACATTTTCCTCTCTCAGTGTGGGGTGGTATTCGTCTCCCCAACATATACCACCTCCATCGATAGTTGTTGTTGATGCGCACACTAATATTCACCAAACAACCCAGGAGGCAGGAGAGCTGCACATGTTTCCGTGGTTGTTTTCGAACATGTTCGTTGGTTGGATTCATGATTCACGTTCAACTCAAGCATGTATCCAATTTGTGCTAGTGTGGGTGTAGATACATTTTGTGGTAGTTGGTTGGTGTGTGATGCCAACTGCTGAGAATGTGTTGATTTATTTTGGTTTTTGTTTGTTTATTTCTCGATCTTTTCAACACATCGACCACCGTCCATCCAGCAAGAAGCAAGGCTAAACAATGTTGATTCCATTCTAGTTTCTCGTTCCGTCTGGGATAGTAGAAGACGTAGTTTGTTGGCCTGGGTCATGCTGTGAAGCATCTGTTAGCGCTGGCAAGCAGAAAGAAAAGAAAAAGGGAAAAGAGCAAAAAGCGATCCTTGCGAAGGTGGCAAAGCAAAAGAAAGAAAAAAGGAAATTCAGGTGAATAGAACATTGGAAACAAAACGTGGTGGATAACGAGTTGAACAGGTTTTTTTTTCTGCGTTCATGTTTGTGGATTGAATTCCACACGAGCTAAGGGGGCTTCGCGTTGAGTCGAAGTGCTGCGCGCGAGTGTGGGTCTCGCGGCCATGGTCTACGTCTACCGAAGAGAAAGGCAGCAGTAGGTACCGACTGTAGAGGAAAAGCTCGCTTTGCACACTGCCACAGAAAGCACAATTGAAGTGCTGAAGAGTTTGAAGTTGTACAGACGGATGAGGTGAAGTCAGTTGTAGTTTGGAGTTGGAACGGTTAAGATCTCTACAAGATACAGATACGTTGCTCTGCTTTTAGTTAGTAGCAACTGTTTGAAGCAAGTAGTTATACCTCCTGCCGAATAGATTTTGGAGAGTAGGAACATGTTCTAAGAAGAAAGTACTTTATTCGTCGTAGATCACATCTTCATGAGTGTTTCTGAAGTGAACAGCTAACGAAGATTTTACGTTTGCCGCAGAGGCATCATCTTTTGTGTTGAGTTTCGCGAATTGGCCTTTCAAACCATATGATTATTTTAATTTGAAATAAAGTTGATTCAAGTGACGTGAGTTATTGAAAACGACGAAGCGAAAAAAATATCACAAAGAAGAGCTTCGAAGTGATTGTTTGAAGTGAAGCAAAGGAAGGAAGAAGAAAAAAGTAAAACGTGGAAATCTTCGCTCTTGTAGTTTTGTTTTAAATAACGAAACTCTTCATTCACCAATCTTCTTTGCTGGGAACGTAGTGAGGAGCATTTCGTTGTATAGGTGCTGTAGGAGTTGAACGTGAAAACCTCTGCCTCATCGAACAAACAAGTAACTCTGCACTAACTTAATCGCCGAGCTTGGAGCAGAAAACGAACGCCATCCCGTAAATTAGTGGCGTGGAATTCCGAGCATCGTTGCACGATTTTCTAACATACTTCTTCATACCAGTTCGTTCGTCTAAAATCGTCCAACGTTCTACGCTGTGCTGATCTTCAAATTTACCGAAAGCTTCAAAAGACATTTCAAGGCGTTGAAAATTTTCACTCCAAGGTAATTATTTCCTGCATTTTTCATTTATTTAAAGAAATAGCAGTTTACATACTATTCTCCTCTCTAACACCTTGTATATTTTCACACTACTATTCTGGATTGGATCACGCTGGATTGGCGTGGAATGTTGGAGTGTTCCTTCTCTTTGGGAGCACCGTATAGACACTATTAGTTTCGAGTTTTTCGCATCCTCTCTTTTTGCCTTGGTGCAACTATTTCCTCAATTAAAACCAGCAATAAATTTTCCGATCGAGGTCTTCGGCGTGAAATATATACACGTGAATCTGTCGAAAATCAAGCCTGTGTATATTTATAAACATCCGCCGATCTCGTTTGAGAATTTTCTTCCACGCGGCTCGGAGTTCAAGCGCGGGAAATATTAACTCTGGTTCAGGTTACGAAATGCCTTCCGATTCGGTTGAGCAAAATATAGTTTGTGTTGTCCCAGCTGAATGTGCTCTAATAAAAATATATCATGGATATTCATTAAAACATATCAAGGGGTTTGAATAAAATAATACAATTTTTGTTGAGAACAATTTAATTCATTGTTTTAACATAGTGGCATTTCGCAACCTTTAGGATGTATTGTAAATATATTGTAATAGCAAACAGTTTATGTGAATTATAAATTAAATTTACCATAAGATAAATTGTGAACCTAATTTCGAACAATGGAGGTTGTAATACAGTGCGTGTCAGAGCAATAGAACCAACTAAAATCATACCGTCACTAAAACCGTTGCATTTCGTTTGTTTATCATAAAAATTTATGATTTTTTTGGGCTTTTAGCCAAACTATGGGACAATAAGTTCTGCAAAATTTCACACAATTTGAATGTCAAAGCTCTGAGATTGTGGTGATTATATAATATTGGACATCTTTCACTTAACAAGCTGTTTCTCATCGTGATGTCAAAATATTCCCATGCACAATCTGCACATCAATAAACATAATCTCAAAATATTACGATTATTTTTGCGCATCTCGAAAAACTTTTTCATACATGCGGTTGTACAAAAAGACTTTTGTTTCGAGATGCGCAATGTCGCCCCTGCTGGTACATGCTGGGAATGGATGGAAGGTTATTAATTATATATTTTTTGTTGTGTTTCTTCACCAATACAATAATTTAGGGATAAATGATCTTAAAACCCCTAAATAAAATTACGATAATTAGTTTTGTCTTAAAATTATTTCATGCGTCCTATTTAAAATAACATATTCAGTCTGTAATGTTTTGTTGGGTTTTTGAATTGCTGAACTGATCGGTAAAAGTTTAAAAATCTATAGTTGAAGATGCTAATTTCAAATATCAGACTAAAGGGCCCATGCATTAATTATGTCACGCTAAATCGAGGAGAAATTTATCCCCCCCCCTAGAGCGTGACATAATATATGCATCAACACAAAGTGGTAATTTGTATACGATAGATGAGGAGATGAAAGCATAGAGTTGATAATTCCGTTAGAGTACGGCAGTGTGAAAATTGTATATAGAGAGTAGAAAGCGATCAAGGACAACTTTGATAAAGGTACCAATCGGGTTGATCATCTCTCTTTACCAAACTCCTTCGTTGAAGAGGGATGGTGAGGGATATTCCCCCCGTCACCACTGGCAAACAGAGATGATCAACGACATGCTAAAGTACCGACGATGTGTTTGAAATAGTTCTATCGATTTTTACCGCACTCAAGAGTTGTTACCTGTAGGAAGACGTCCAGTCGTAGGTTTGGAAATTGCAGCTATTGTTACCTCTACCACGGACTAGACGATCTCGAGGGACACGGGTAGGGTAGGTGTTGCTACTGTACCTTTCGACCAATGACAGTAATTGATGGTAAGCTCCCATCCTTCCTTCAGATAACAACTTGAGTGCGGTAAAAATCGATAGAACTGTTTCAAACACATGCGCGAATCATCGATCATGCCCCTCACCATCCCTCTCCAACGGGGGAGTTTAGTAAAGAGAGATGATCAAACCGATTTGTACCTTCCTAAAGTTGTCCTTGCTCGCTTTCTACGCTCTATATAAAATTTTCACCCTGACGTACTCTAACGGAACTATCTACTCTATGCTTTCATCTTCTCATCTATCGTATAAAAATTACCACTTAAGTTTGTTATTTAAAATTTTCTCATTTTTGAATTTTTCACAGATTTTTAAACTTTGCCTATATGTTTTGTATTACTTCTGCGTGAAGTCAACGATTTACAGAGTTGAAGATCTATGTAAATCGTTGACTTCACGCAGAAGTAATACAAAACATATAGGTAAAGTTTAAAAATCTGTGAAAAATTAAAAAAATGAGACAATTTATTTCAAACTTGTACAGACTTAGTTCTGTACGCATTTCATTATAAAAAAAAATATTTTTTTCGATTTATTTGATTCCATATTTTTTCATAATTCTAAAACCTAGTTAAAACCCAGTGTACATGCAGTAGAAAACGTAGAATATACGCTTTTAACAGAATGGATTATCAATAGCCAAATTTGGGATAGGATGCATGAAACCACTGCTGAAAATTCTCAACCGTACACGACGATATTTACAAAACAGCTTTCGTGTCTTACACGAAATGAAAATGATCTTCAAAGGATGTCAGTGACATTGCAGTCACTGACGGACATGTGCATGTTTTGCTATTAGCCAAATTTCGAACGCAATGAAATTAGACATGTAAAATAAATCCGTAAAGCCGTCAAAATAAACAATCATGTACGTCCTCAACTGCATGGGTTGTCATTGACGAAAAAATTAATGAGATATTGACGAAGGTTTATGTAAGTGAAAGGGGCAAGGCAACTCTGATTTATTGGAAAATATCATCGGATATTTCTAAATATCATCGAAAATCTTTAATTGTTTTCAACAACTCAAACATAAGAGATAGAGCTTTTTATGGTGAACACTTTTTGTTCTACGAATACTATTGTTTTTAAGTCTAATAAAATATATTTTGATACAGGTGTCCCGCCCGTAGTGTACGTCTTCAGTTAGTTCTTCTAGTGAAGATGTCAAAAATAATTCTGTCAATATCACGTGAAATCAATAAAACTTCAGCACTCACTGATGTAGAGGACTGTTCAGTTTGAGAGTTAAATTGATTTTTGTTTCAACTGGTTGAAGTGAGAATATTTAAAATATTTGAAAAGATCTACGAATATATCTTAGACGTCTTACCCTATCAAAGATGGTTTCTAAATGTATTTATTTTCCATATGTACCGTTGGATTTGATAAAGAGTCACACATTATTGAGATATGGTTAAAAATCTAACATCATACGAGTTTCAATTCCGACCAAACACATTTAAACATTATTGGAATCTCAATCGTAGATAGCATAGCATAGCAGCAAAGGAATTAGCAGGCCACTTTTTTCACCAAATAGTCACAGTCACTTTTTTTTACGGTCAATTTTCAGAGTAAATAATTTGCCTTTAAAACTCACATCAAATCACAGCTTGATGTGGTTTACAAGTTTTTGTTAGAAAGATTCATTAAAAATAAGCGTGTAAAGTCTGACAAGAAAAGTAGCGAACAGACGGGGATGTCAATTCGTGTTGATGGAATGACTAATATTTTGATTTTATTTTTCATCGAGGCATTTAAAAAAATCTAGACCCAATATCCTGGCTTTTTTTCTTCGTCATCTTGAATGTTTTCTAAGCCTAAGATGTCAAATTTTCGAGGAAAATTTTCAAGCATTACATTTTTCAAAAACCATAAATTTGAAAAAGCCCGGTAGCTTTAGTATTTGTCCAAAAATCGTGAAAAAAAAAACATGTCGCAGAATCTTGGTAGACGTACGAGTCATGGCTATACGTTCCTATTATGGTGTGTTCCAATTATGGCCTATGGGAACTCCATAGGCCATAATTGGAACACATCATAATAGGAACGTATGGCCATAACTGGTACATCTGCCCTACATTGTATTGTACTTTTTCCGGACTTCTGAAATCAACCAATTTTCATGTCCAAATTTTAGAAATACATAATTGTATGATCATACCATGTTTCTGTGTTTCAAAAGCATTCAAATGTTTGTAAGACTGTGAACTTACATTCTATATCAGTTCTTCAAAATATTGAACATTTTTTTCCATGCAGCACAATTTTCTAGATTTGGTTGTCGTAGAGATCTCATTTTTGACGTAGAACTACGTCGTTGTTGACTATACTGGGGTGTAAATCAAAAAATATGTATGGTGAAATAGTGTTAGGTTTTGAACGCTTGTAACTCTTTCATTTATAGATAGAATTATAATCCACATACGCCAATCGATAGAATATTATTTTACGTATCTACTGAAATAAATACTTTTCCAATTTTTCATGAAAAAACTTTTGAAAAATGAACAAATGATAATGTTATCATTGTTTTCATGAAATTAACATTTTTCCCAAACCCAGTCGTAATAATCGAGTACCACTTGGTTGCACATCGTTCTGCTTGAACATGAAAAAATATAAAACAGCGCCAATGTCGTGCCTTTGCTCATTACCGCTTCGGACGGCGTGGCACTGGGTTCTGCAGCAAGCAGGAGCAAGTCATCGGTTAATGTGGTGTTTACATCTATGCGGTTTTGCTAGCGCAAGTGCAAAAAAGCAGCCAGCATAATGTAAGCAGGACATCAGCGTCTATCAGCATATGCTAGTTGGCTGCTACACTAGCGCTAGCAAATCCACACATTTAATTTTTCATAATTTATTACATTCCAGAAAAATGCTTGACCCTAACCGAAACATTGAAATACTTGAAAATTTAAGATAAAGTATTATAGTCAAAAATGCATGACATACATCAATTTTGAGTAGTTCTTCGTCATACTGCGGTCGTGTCTAGGACACAACCCTTTCATTTTTTTAAATGGTTCAAAATCTCCAAAATTAATCTCGAAATGCTAAAAAAAAATCACTATCCAGGTTATAAGTTCTAGACGCATGTAACATTTTCTATGTTCGTGAGATTTCCATCTTGGAAAAAT